GGAGAGAGAGAGAGAGAGAGAGAGAGAGAGAGAGAGAGAGAGAGAGAGAGAGAGACCCCATGCAAGAAGAGAAGAGAATGAAGAGAGCTTTCTTGCCACTAAACTCCTTGATCACCGTCAGACTTCAACCCGGTAGTCGACTGACGCAGGATTTCTACCCGACGCTAGACTTTTGCCCGTCGTCAGATTTCTACATGTCATCGGACTCCTAACCAACACTAGATTTCTACCCGATGCCAGACTTATACCTGTCATCGGACTTCTACCTAACATCGGACTTCCGCCCGTCGTCGGATTTCTACCGGACACCGAACTTCCACCCGTCAACAGTCCTTCCAACTTCCTTTACCAAACAACAATCGTTCTGACCTACGTCGATCGCCGACTACGATCCTTTCGACCTCCGTCGCCATACAATATTCTTTCTAACCTCCGTGGCCTACCGACTATGGTCCTTCCGACCAAACAAACGCGTCAACAGTGATTCTTCATGTTTTCACCATGTAACACACTCTGTATGATGTATATTTGTTGCATCAAGCCAAGGCTTTCCCCCAAGGAAGGGTCTCATTTGCAATCGACTACAAATAATAATGGATTCATTCAAAGTGGGTCAGGCCACATGATTTTTCCCCTTTTCAGAGTTTTTCACATAAAAAATTTCAGTGTCTCTTACGAATCCTACACCATCTATTTCATCAGTTGTGTGTTGGATCTTCGTATAAAGCTAAGAAGTTAAAGTTTACATTTCTTTGTCGCCACGAATATTCCAGGATGCAACACTTCCTTAATATCAAAAAATGACGTTTATTTAAGAAGACTCATCATATAGGTGTTGATGTAGTAAGACCGCCTAGCAAAAATCCTATTGTAATCGAAATCATTAGTGTGTTGAATGGTCACATGGCGTGCATTCAACAGGCCAGTTGAAAAAAAACTAGAGAGTTTCAGGTTACCAAATAAAAACACGTATAGAATCAAGATCCAACCTATGCATGGATAATTTCCCAACCAATATAAACTAAAAAGATAAAGCAAGTTTAACAACATCTTCATCCGAAATCAAAACAACCGATAGACCCTTTAAAATCGAGTGATCGATAATTTGGCATGGGCAATAGGTTTTCCTTTTTTGTTGGGTTTGTGGCTTTTTTTGGGTCATTTTTGCCCGTAAGCTTTTATATTTACACATGTATTAGAATGAACTTACTCCTTGTTTTACTTCATAGTTAAATGAAAATTTAGCTCCGCCACTAATTACCCTAAAAAAAAAAGAAGGGCCTCATGCTTTGTAAATGAAAAAATAAAATAAAATAAGACAATTGGGGCGGCAGGCCGATCGCAACGATCCAATTATATGTTGTATAATTTTGATTAAGCAAGTCAACTAATAAATTAAATTTAAAAAACTTATTAAGATATATATATATAT